GGGCATGCCATGTGGACCCTGAGATCCCTCCCTGTGCATTGGACCTCCTCAGCTCAGGGACAGAGAGATGTGATTCCGGAGGCGGGGCAGAGGACCAGCAGCAGCAGAACCCAGAAGAGACAGAGCAGTGGATTCCTTAGACCATGGAGGAAGTAGAGCTGAATGACTTTGAGCAGGAAGCTGGCTTGTAGAGTGGGGTCCTCCAGGCACTTCAGTGGGGAGCTAGGTTTGCTGACCCACAGAGCTACAGGTAAGTGCCTTCTGGCTGAGGGTTACAGTGGAGTGGTGTGTCCTGTGCGTGTTTTTCAGCAGCTGACTGGAACTTCTGTGCCTGAGCATTTCTGACTCCAAATTGTAACATGTTAATTTCCCTATTAAACCCCATAGCTCTGAGTATGGTGTCTGAGTACGATGTGACAATTGCAATGGATTATTAAACCCAATAGGGAAGTAGAAGGAAGGTTGTGGGTGGTTCATATTTTTATAAGTGCATTTCTTTTGTTGTTATTCCTTAGAGTTTGTAGAGTCATGAGTTCTGGCCATATTGATTCTTTTTTGTTTTTTTTTTTGTTTTTTTTTTAAAGCATGTGCCAGCCAGTCCTGATGGTGACAGGCTTAGCTTCCAACTGAGGTAGGAGGAAAAAGAAGTGTAGGAGGATCGAAGGGGAAGGTTTAGGGCATGCAAGAGCTGTCTGGGAAATCAGCTCTTAAGAAATGGTCTTGATGACAGCAATTGGAAAGGTCAGCTAGAAACCACAGGGGGCAGTGCGTTTCCCTTCATGGACAAGGAACAACTCAGACAAGGACGGTGAGAATGGTTCCATGACTCAAAGGAAGTCATCAGTGACACTAAATTGTTTGTGTAGAAACTATTGAATTGGGGTTTTGTTTTGATGTACATATTGTCAACAAGAACAAAAGTTAAAAAAAACCAAAGCAGAATAACAAAAATGTAAAAACCTTTATGGAGTTCAGTTCTATTCTGCACAGATGGGGTTCATCCAACAACAAAAGAAGTAGTCTTGAGGGTCAGAGGCATGTGCGGCAGGGAAGGGGGCTGCGAATAAGAAAACATGGCAGTGGAGGAAGATGGCAGGATTCAAACCTAACATTGATTGAAGCTTGGCTTTAGGCAGTCTGCAGAACCTTTCTGAGCCTCAGCATTCTTCTCTCTCAAACCAAGCCAAATCCACTGCCATCAGGGTGATTCCAATTCATAGCAACACTATAGAGGCTTTCCAAGACAATACATCTTTGCATGAGCAATTAGCCTCATCTTTCTTCCTTGGAGTGACTGGTGGGTTTGAATTACCAAGATAGCAGTCCATTGCTTATCCTACAGTGCCACCATGGCTCCCTTAAGTGGTAAAGTGGCCTCTAACTCATGATGAGCTGGAATGTCATTTGGCTAGAGTCTCAAACCCCTGAATACATCACTAGTAACCTGTTGTGGTTGCAAATTTAGGAGGGAACTCCACAGAGGGAATGTTCTACCAAGGTCTTCAGATCACCACTGTAAGTCCTTGGTCCCAGCACCCATGCAATTTTCTTGTAAATGAACTGGAACACTTCAGAAAGTAAGGATTCCTTGTACCCAAAGCAGCTCTGGAGGGGTTCCCTCTGTCCTTCTCAAGACAGGACAGTATTTTTATTGCACCAACTGCATACAGTTCTCCAGAGAGGAAAGGGACCAAAGATGGTAGGCAGAGCTGGTTTCTTCCCATTCACTCCCACCCACAGTCTCCATTTTCAGTCCTTCTGTGCATTTTTCTTTGTTGAGGATGCCTATCTCTGTGCACTACATCATCTGGGCATTAGCTTTGACTACTGAGGTTCCACGTTCCACTGGATTTGGAGAGATATTGGCCCAGCTTCCTCCCTGCTTGCTCATGGTTCTGGGCTCATCTCCAGGCATCATTCCTGTAGGAGGGTCTCTCTTTCAAGTCCCCACTTCGTTTCCATCTCTTTCAGGCTTTGGGGTGGTTATAGGGTCCTGCTATTGCTAGTCACCGGATACCCTGACATCCCCACCTGGTGCTTTTGCACCTCTGAATGCAAGCCTTTCATTAAAATATTCCTGGTGAAATCCTTTTGAGTATATCATCTATTCCAACCTGGATCCTGAGTGGCATATCTCTAACAGAGAACAAACCACAGAGACCTTGATATGTGATGCTCAGAGCCCTTAGCCTCCTCCCTTGCCATGCTTAAGCAATATCCCAACACAGAGACTCTTCCTTTTAGGAAGGATGGAGGTGGGCAAGACTGTGAATTCCCCCTAGATCTTAGAATGTGTCACTAACAGTGGTTCTTCTGGAAGGTTAAATAAAGGGTCATGATAAAGGTACCCAGCTTGGTGACAGTTATTAAGGGACCATGGAGTAAATAGCAGCTGCTAGTATCATTCACAGGAACTTTTTAAAGTATTGAAGAGCAGAGATGTCAGCTTGAGGACTAAGGTGCGCCTGACCCAGGCCATGGTGTTTTCAATAGCCTCATATGGATGCGAAAGCTGGACAGTGAATAAGGAAGATCGTAGAAGAATTGATGCCTTTGAGTTATGGTGTTGGAGGAGAATACTGAAAGTGCCATGGACTGCCAAAAGAACCAATAGATCTGTTTTGGAAGAAGTGCAGCCAGAGTGCTCCTTGGAGGCCAGGATGGCTAAGCTTCGTCTCTCAAGGGAAACAGTCGTTGGAGAAGGATGTCATGCTGGGTAAGGTGGAGGGTCAGAGAAAAAGAGGAAGACCCCTAACGAGATGGATTGGCCAGGCGGCATCATTGATGACGTCAAGTGTGGCGGTGGTAGTGAGGTTGGCCCAGGATCAGACATTGTTTCATTCTGTTGTGCATGGTGTCGCTATGAGTCGGTTCCGCCTCGATGGCACCTGACAACAACAAGTGTCATTCAATCGTTTACCATCCAGTTGTGTCTGCGACATGGCACCTCCATGTGTGTCAGAGTAACCTGAGCTCCACAGGGTTTTTAATGGCCGATATTTTTCAGAAATAAATTTCAGGCCTTTCTTCTGAGATAGCTCTGGGTGATCTCAACCTCCAACCTTTCAGTTAGCAGCCAACTGGTGAACAGTGGTATCATTAGGTACTAAAGAAACAGGAAGGAAAACACAACGACGGCAATGGATTTGTGAACTAAAATGACTTTAATCTCTTCTTGCAGTGATTTCATTACGTTGGCCAATGAATAAATCAGACTTACTGGCACTTTCTTGATTCTGTACCAAACCCAAACCCAACCCACTGAGACATCCTTTTAATACTTTTTTGTCATTTTCAAAGACAATTACATAGTTTGTTGCAAATTCTAGGGACTGATGTAGGAAATCAGTGGGCCATGGGGGGAAGAAAAGGATTTTAGATGAGAATGTTGTTGTTGAGTGTTAGTTACTACTCATAGAGACCCTGTGTGGGGTTTCCAAGAAGCGGTTGGTGGGTTTGAACCACCAGTCAGTGCTTATCCTACAATGCCAAACCAGGACTCCTAGATGCAACTAAGGGTGAAAAGTCATTACAAGTGTAGATTGGCTTGTGTTGTTGTTGTTAAGTGCTGTTGAGTCAACTCAGACCCATTGCAACCCTGTATAGGGTTTCCGAGGAGCAGCTGGTAAGCTTTGCAGTTCAAATGGCTTTGCAGTCTAGCGCATTAACCCACAACGCCACACCAGACAAAATGTAATTTTATAAAAATTGAATGAGACAATATCATTGTCAGTTGGTTTTGCTACTCATGGTATTTAATAGAAAATGTATTTACATTATCTTTAATTTGTTTAAATATTTGTAAACATTGCTTTCTGAAGAATGCATATCTGGATTATTATAGCATATAATTCATTTTGGTGAACAGTAACTCACCCGCATTATGAACATAGGATTTACGGAAAGCTCATAATTTCCCTTTAATGTTATATAAATTTGCTCTCACTTTGAAACGATTGAACCAACCCCTGCTCATGACAAGTTCTTCATCACAACCCCGTTCACACACTGCACCTGCAGCTTTAAATTATGGAAAAAGCTTTGAGCCTTTCCTTGCATTAAAGCAGAGGTGGGGAACACCTGCCCTTGCAGGCCGTATTGTGTTGTTGTTGTTTTTGTTAAGTTCCACCATCCAGTTGCTTCTGACCCATACTAACCCTGTGTCAGGTTTCAGAGGAGTGGCTGGTGAGTTTGAACTGCCACCCTTTCAGTTCAAACCCATCTTGTGGTTCAAATCCATCTCCAGCACCACATAAGGACTCCGGATTGTTGTTAGGTGCCATCGAGTCGGTACCGACTCATAGTGACCTCATGCACAGCAGAACAAAACACTGCCCTATCCTGGGCCAACCTTACTACTCCGTATAAAGCCCTCAAGATCATTTGGCCTGGCCGTGTCAAGGCAACCACTGGTTTAGCCATCACATTGTTGCTATTGTATTAAGTGCTACTGAGTTGGTTTCTACTCATAGTAACCCAGTATAGGGTTTCCCAAGAGTGACTGGTGAGTTTGAACCACCGACCTTGCAGTACAAACTGACACTATGATCAAGAGCTTATCTTACAATGCCACACCAGGACTCATATTAGGGGGTGAGTTAATTAAATGTTTAACCAAATAGAGCAAGCTAATTTTTAAGTTGATAATTTTGTATGTCCCATGAATGATGTTATAAATTTAGGCAGAAAAAGGCTCCCCATCCCTGCACTAAAGTAAGGCTAAATAAGTACTGTATGTACCTGTTCCAACTTATCTACAGATACGACTTAAAGGCACACTTAGGAGTGGATCTCGTCCTTAACCTGGGGACAGCCTGTAGTCCCTAGTATTTGTTGGTTCACCTTGCTTTAATAGATTGTGCTAGATGCTCTGTAAATGCACTAGAATCTCACTGGAAGTGTCTCTGAATCTCATTGCTACTTGCTCCACCTTGTAGGGCCCCAGACTGAGTCATGAGTCAGCCATAAGAAACTTAGAACTTTTAGATCAGTAGCCCTGATCACAGTTCGTCGTCTTCTGATATGGAGTCCAGATAATCTGTGTCAACATACAGGAGAAATCCAGAGAACAAGCTGTCTGCCCAACCTGGGTCTGAGAAGAGGCCATTCTGGTCTGTGAAGAAGATCTCCAGCCAGACTTCATCTTCTGGCTGAAGGTAGATAACTGTGGACCCCGAAGCCACATCGTGGTTTCCTGTGTTGGCGTCAAAGGTCTTTATCCGGTACTGCCCATTGTGGACCAGCCCAATTGCCAGATGCTTATTCGCCAATGTGATATCATAAGAAAAGTAATAGATCCCTGGGTAAGCACAGATGAACTTCCCAGTGGCTGGGTTGTAGTGCTCGCCCTCATTAAAGAGGACCTTATTAAATACAATAGGGAGTCTTTCTTCTGGGTAGCTGGTTGTGATGCCAACAGAAAAGGCAGATTTGAGCACGATGCTTCCACATCTGCAGACTCCGGGCAGCCCTGGGTCCCCTTGGTCCCCTCTGTCTCCCTTTGGTCCAGGAGACCCAATGGGACCGACTTCACCTTTCTCTCCCTCTGGTCCCATGGGTCCTTTTTTCCCGGTCTCTCCTTGGTCCCCTTTCTCTCCAGCAAGTCCCAGTGGTCCAGTCTTACCCCTCAAACCTTCAAAAAGAGTTTATATTTAATTAATAATTTCTCTAAGGATAGAATTATAAATAGTATACCCACACAGTCCCATCCTACCCTAATGTTGTCTTTTTAGTGAACTTTCAACACTATGCTCCCAAATGAAGAAACTTTAAAATATAATTGATTCATTAAAAATGGAGATTCAATTTTTGTTTTCATCAAAATTCCAAGTAAATTTCTCTGAATAAGTGATAAATCCTTTAAACCCTGGCTATCTTAAAGGACTGACTATCATTTAGATAGAGTCCTGGTGTGGCGCTGTGGGTTAACGCACCGGACTGCAAAATTGGTTTGAACAGCAAGGTTGGCGGTTCAAGCTCACCAGCCACTCTTCGGAAACCCAACACAAGCTTGCTATGGGTTGGAACCAACTTGACGGCACTGAATTCCCCCTGCAGTGAGGAGCTGCTAGTGAATAATTTAGTACCAGGGAGTTCATCAACAACAATAACAATAAATCATTTAGACAGAGTCCTGGTGTGTCACTGCGAGATGACATGAGATGATGCACTGAACTGCAAGGTCTGTTTGAACACCCACCCCATATCAAAAGCCGTGTGTACTCAACTCCCTTATGGGAAATAGCACACTATTTACATCTATTCTGTGCTTATTCTCTTATATACTGTATTTAAAATCATTTCTAGATTACTTATAATACGTGTTGTTGTTGTTAAGTGCCGTTGAGTTGGTTCTGACTCATAACAACCCTGAATAGGGTTTCCAAGGAGTGGCTGATGGGTTTGAACCACCGACCTTGTGGTTCAAACCGACCTTGCAGTGCAGTGTTTTATCCTACATTGCCACACCAAGATTTCCTTATAACACCAAATACAATTGTTAAGTGCCGTTGAGTCAGTTCTGACTCATAGAGACCCAGTATAGGGTTTCTGAGGAGCAGCTGATGAGCTTGAACAGCCGACCTTGCAGTTCAAATAACTCTGCAGTCTGGCATATTAACCCACAGCACCACACCAGGACTCCTGAGGAAACTGAACCACTGTGACCATATTTTGATCAAGGAGCAGCACTAGGGAGTGATGGAGCTGGGATGCATGAGCTTGAGTGCCCCCTGGAGGCAGTGGTGAGCGAGCGTGTCAACTGCAGTGCACATCTGTTAAGTGCCATGGAGTCAGTTCCAACCCATAGCAACACTATAGGGTTTCTGAGGAGCTGCTGGTGAGCTTGAACCACTGACCTTGCAGTTCAAACTGACTTTGCAGTGCAGCGCATTAACCCACAGCACCACACCAGGACTCCATAGTGCACACTTGGCAATGACTGCCAGCATCATGCAAAACCGAGTCCCAGAGAAGTGACAGAACTTGCTTCTGTAGCAAGGCTAGGACCCAAATCCAAGTGTTCTTAGCTTAACGATGCTACCAAAATGCCTCCCACCTCTGGGACTGGACTCAAGAATCGTACATTCTGGTTGACTCTGTTATTAAATGTTTGTATCATTTGGATAACTCACTTTATTTCTGGGTGTCCTTATATATTGACAAGAAATCTTAGTTGTGAAAGCATTTCAACAAAGTCAACAGCACCAGGCAGGAATCTATTTCCTTGTGACCAAATTTTTGTATTAATACAAAACCCTATGCAGGGTCACTATGAGTCGGAACCTACTGGCAGCTACTTTACAACAACAATTTCATTATGGATTCAAGTCCTCCTACCTCTATCTATATGACTTACTGTTGTGGTAAAAACAGATCATCAACTATAGGCCAAATACAGAAAAATTGTGAGCCTGGGTTGAAAATGATAAGCAAAATCGATTTAATTTTTAAACCATATCTTTACCAGCAATGCCTTCAGACCATAAAGATATCATTCAATTTTGTAGCAAAAACACTCCCTAAATAGTGCTTGTAAGAGTGATATTTTCTTGAAAAGTACCCAAATTTGTGGTAATCTGTATGTACTTTTGTAGTGGAGAATCAATTGTTTATGTATTGCTTAGTTTCAGTCTTAAATATGTATGTGTTCCCAGAAACTTTGATTGCATTTAGTCTTTTTATCTTGAACATGCTTTAATGTTATTTATTTGAATATGTCACATACATCAATGCATGTGTTTGATAATTTGATCATTTCTCAATTATTTGGCGAAGTTAGCAATGAAGTGTTCTGGGTTATGTAAATTTAAAGAGAATTAAATCTTTACCTTTAACATATCAAGATGTTTGTTTTAATAGCTTTGGAAACAGGCTGTTAATAATTAATGATGCAGAGATGTTAATAATGCATGAGAACTTTCATTTGTGACTCATTCCATGTTATTACTGACCACAGTACTGGCCTTTGGCTGTTGATGGTATTGGGGATCAGCCTCAGCCAGAACATTCTCTGATATTTATCTCTTGAAATAAGGCCCTAAGAGTTTGATTTCTCAATATTTATTTTTTTGGGGTAGAAATGGAGTGCAGCTACTCTCTTGTTGTTAAATTAGCTTTTCTGTCAATGACTTAAAATTCCAGATTGTTATTTTATCTTCAGTAGGAACATAGTTTTTAGTGTCTTAATAAATCAGGCAAGTATTTAAAAAGGGGGAATTAAGGAAAACAAAACTCAGGCTAGTGATGGAGTGGTAGAAGAACAGATGCTGTGTTTCTCAAGCTCCTGACTAGAGATCGATGTTGGTTATCCTACAGACCTAGCATGCTTCCTTCATATGGTGGTTGTTGTTGTTGTTAAGTGCTGACAAGTTGGTTCCCACTCATAGTGACCCTGTTTAAGATTTCAGAGGAGAAGTTGGTGGTTTTGAACAGTCAACCTTGTGTAAATAGTCCATTACTTATCTTACAGTATCATACCTGGGCTTTTCATAGGGTTAGTTGTTGTTGTTGTTGTTGTTGTTGTTGTTAGGTGCCATCGAGTTGGTACCGACTCATAGTGACCCTTTGCACAGCAGAGTGAAACATTACCCGGTCCTGGGCCAACCTCACTACTGTTGCCACGCTTGAGTCCATCGATGCTGCCACTTGGCCAATCCATCTCATTGGGGTCTTCCTCTTTTTTTCTGACCCTCCACCTTACCAGACATGATATCCTTCTCCAGAGACTGCTCCCTCCTGACAACATGTCCCAAGTATGCTGTGTATGAGGTCACCATGGGTCGGTACCGACTCGATGGCACCTAACAACAACAACAACAATAGGTGCTCAGAGAGACTGTGGCATGGATAACGTAAAGGTAAATTGATGAATGGGCTGATTAATATGTGAGTAGAACTGTCATCATATTAGAGGGGGCTTCAAAAAGTTCCTGGAAAAAGTCCAACATCTTTTAGCTCCATTTTGCCACAAACTTTTTAAAACCCCCTTGTATAGTAAAAATTGTAGCAATTATGAACATTTAATCTGAATGCATAGGCATAGAAGCCCAATACACAAAGACCCATGTTGATGTTGTTAGGTGCCTTCGAGCCAGTTTCAACTCATAGCAACCTTATGCATAACAGAACGGAACATTGCCCGGTCCGGTGCCAGCTTCACAATTGCTGTTACGCTTGAACCCATTGCTTCTGCCACTATGCCAATCGATCTCGTTGGGGGTCTTCCTATTTTTCACTGATCCTCCACTTTACCTAACATGATGTCATTCTCCAGGGACTGTTTTCTCCTGATAATGTGTCTGAAGTCTGAGCGATGAAGTCTCACCATTCTGGCTTCTAAGGAGCATTCTGGCTGTACTTCCAACACAGATTTGTTTGTTCTTCTGGAAACCAACGGCACTTTTAGTATTCTTCTCCTAAACCATAACTCAAATGTATCAATTCTACAGTCTTCTTATTCATTGTCCACCTTTCACATGCATATGAGGTTATTGAAAATATTAGCTTGGGTCAGGTGCCCCTTAGTCCTCAAACTGATATCTTTGCTCATGAAGTCTTTAAAAAGTCTTCTGCCGCTGATTTGCCTAAAGCAATATGTTCTTTGATTTGACTGCCAATTACATGAGTATTGGTGAATCCAAGAAAAATGAAGTCGTTGACAAAATCTATCTTTTCTCCATTTATCATGGTATTATTTATTTGTCCAGTGGTGAGAAATTTTGTTTTCTTTACTTTGAGGTGCAACCCATACTAAAGACTTTGATCTTTGATCTTCATCAGTAAGTATTTTAAGTCAAGCAAGGCTTTATCATCTGCATATCACAGGTTGTTAATGATTCTTCCTCCAATCCTGTGTTCTGTTGTTCTTCATATAATCCAGCTTCTCAGATTATTTGCTCAGCATACAGATTGAATAAGTATGGTGGAAGTATACACCCTGGCACACACCTTTCCTGATTTTAAAGTATTCAGTGTTTCCTTGTTCTGTTGGAATAATTGCCTCTTGGTCTATGCACAGGTCCCTCATGAGCATAACTAAGTGTTCTGGATACTCATTCTTTGCAATGTTGTTCATAGTTTGTTTTGATTTACACAGTCAAAAGCCTTTGCATAGTCAATAAAGCACAGGTAAACATCTTTCTGGTACTCTCTGCTTTCAAACAAAATTCATCCAACTTCAGCAAAGATATCCCTAGTTCCGCATCTTTATCTGAATCTGGCTTGAACATCTGGTAGTTCCTTGCAAATGTACTGTTTCAGCTATTGAAAAAATATTCTTAACAAAAATTTACTAGCATGTGATATTAATGATATTGTCCAATGATTTCCACTTTCCATTGGGTAACCTCTCTTTGGAATGGGCACAAATATGGATTTCTTCCAATAAATTGGCCAAGTTTCTTCCAAATTTCTTGGCATAGATGAGGGAGTGCCTTCAGGAGTGCGGTATCAGTTTTTTTGAAATATCTCAATTTGTATTCCATCAATCTCCAGAGCCAATGCCTTCAGTGCACCTTGGACTTCTTCCTGCAGTACCATTGGCTCTTGATCACATGCTAACTCTTGAAATGGTTGAACATCGACTGTTTCTTTTGGGTCCAGTGACTATTCCTTCCATCTTCTTCTTTTTTT